AAGAGATCCCCATCAGTTCATCAAAGGAAAAGACGGATAGATTCTTGGATTCTTCTATCGCAGCAACTACGTGATCAAATTTTGGAGTTTGGCTTCGCAATACCTTTTACACAATGGTCTGATCAGTTACCTTCTCTTTGTAGGATTGCATTTGACTGACAATTGTCATTGTTCTTGACGAAAAACCAGCAATGGGTTCTCCACTTTTCATCATCAAGGTTTCAAAATCACGCCGAAGTGATTGCAGTCTTACCACAATGACCTTTGAATCGCCTTGAAACTCTTTCTGGAGAATCGTCCAGGCTTGTTTGGATGTGGTTGCTGTTGCTATTCGCAAAAAGACATTATCATGAACAGCCTGCTGAATAAAAACCAGCGCTTTAGCATCTTTTTGCTTGTTTCTTCGCAGTTTGTTTCCTTCGTCGGGATCTGCAAATCCACATTCTACCAAGTCCCAAAGATCTTGAGATTTGAGTATAGTTTTCATACGAATACTCCAGAATTCATAGCTTTCTCCCTTGAAGACAGGAATGAGTGGTTGTGTAACACTCAATGCACTATTGCTACTTGCCATGACTGACTCTGATGCCAAATTTGTTGGAGAAAAAGTATAGAGAAATCTAAAAATAATAAAAAAGAGAAGGAAAATTGCGACTGCGTTTAATTTCAGATTAATTGGAAATACAGAAATAACAAAATATGCCCACATGATATATAGGCTAAGAGATAAACAACTAATCCTAAAATATAGGTCCTGTAACCCACTATGACACTTAATCAACAACACTAATGAAACTTGAGTAAATATAGGAAACTACTTAACAAAGACCCAAAGACTAGTTCTACTAAACTACCCATTCCCAATTTAGTCAATTGTTTTGAATCACTCTTTAACAACACTGTCATGGAAGGTATTTTTTAAGCACAAGATAAAAAAAAAAGATTTTTTTTTGCAAGTTCAAAAACAATGAAAAGAATCGAGCATCAACTATCAAAGCAGAAATTGAGGAGGAGCATTTTTCAATTGCAGTAACTAAAGCTAAAGAGGAGTGTTGAAGTTTGCTTTTAGTTACTGCAGTAGTTTTTAATAAAATAATTTGTCTAATTTAAGATAAATTTGAAATTTGAATTTTAGTTAGGTTGTTTTAGTTATTGAGATATCTTAGGATTTTTTGAAATTTAAATTATACAGATTATGTATTTTATGTTGGCTATTTAAAGCCACTAGATACTTAAGAAAATCATTGAAAGCTATTGAAGGCCATTTTAATCCATTGAGAGACACTTTCAATCTTTTTATGTTGTCCCATTTTTAAAAACAACCCAACAAGAGTGCTTTAAGAATAAAATGTAAATGAGTTATGGAGAGAAACCAAGGAACTAAGAAAGGAAGTAAAAATAAAATATACCATATTCTTCGATATGTCTAGTAGGTGAGCTAGCTATCAACTATAGTATGTATGTGGCCCATTTATGTATTTTGTTAATTATAATTATATTGATATGAATTGATTTCACAAAATAATCTCACTCAATCGGAGAATAACATTATCGTTGATTCATTTAATTGATTCTTCACATTATTTATTCCTTTTTGCAAATTACTTCTTAGTATAACTTTGAAGTATAGATTTCCTCGACTCAATTTTACTTGTTATATTTGTCTATTAAGAAAATAATGATTGAGATGGTTATTTTACCACATTAATTCTATTAATTAATATTTATTGAAATATAAATTGAGGAACAAGTAATTAATGCTAAGGATAAAATATGAATTATTAATTTTTATATTTACTTGATATTTTAATAGTGATAAATAAATATATAATTTTAAAAATAAAATAATGAACAAGTAAAAATAAACAGAGTAGTAATTAACTATACCCTAATACATTAAGGGCCTGAAAAGTCAATAAGGTAATTGGATTTGGTGTAATTATATTGTCTGGCATGTTTGGTTGGTCATGTAATTACTTGGTTAGCAGGTAATAAGGTGCAATTGGTAGAGGGTAACTACACTCTCAAATTCTCAGGGCAGGGCTGTGAATTGTTGGTATCTCATGACCTATGAGTGAGTTGTTCAGTTAATACGACAGATCAAGTGGACCAGGATCCAGTTGGTATGCATTATTAGTAGCCATAAAAGAAATACATATACACAAGTGAATATTTGTAAAATAATGAACAAAACTAACAAAAGTACAACTATAAACTTTCCTCAAATGCTTCACCATAAACATAAACTTCAATCATATCAATTAATTAAAATATAAGATTTGCTATAAAAGCCGCAACCCTTGAGGAAATTAAATACTACTCAAATAATTTCAACATCATATAATTTAATATCCTCATAAAAAGGAAAAAAACAGAAACTAAAATTTCAAGTTTTTTTTAACAAAAAGGAAAACAACATATTCAACAAATCTAAGATAAACTATACTGGTGTATGACAAAAATACCTCAATCGCAAAAAAAAAAAAATCTTCGCTTTCAAAGCTTTTTGACACTTTCTTGTAAGCAAAACTGCGAACGTCCTTCGATTTTTTGAAAGTTCCACCTCAAATCTCTTGTATTGTGTCTAATCTTCAATAGTCAAACAAAACTGTCAAACCTCTTGTATAGAACAAAAGGGTTTTAAATCGAGTGAAGATTATGTGTCAATTCTGCAAAAGCAAGAGGATAGATTTTTGTTTATGGTCATAGTTGCAACCTTGGAGGTGGGTTAGGAGGAAGAAAAAGGATTTTTAGGCTTATGTGAATCTGCAGATTTTTCTCGCTCAGTTAATATAATTAAATGGATTTTTGTTCTATTATAGGATTAAATGACAGAGTTGTAGTACAGGTGTACAACTTATGCTTAAAACTCTATTCTCAACAACGTATTATATTTAAAATGTTATTCACAGTTACGTATTATAATCAAACGCCGTTAGTCTTTTTTTCATTATTATTTTTAAATAAAAGCATAAAACGTTATTGTGAACCATAGTTTTACTAATTTTGTAAAAAAAATTAAAACCATACTATTTTGATTAATTGATTTAAACAATGACTTATTTTGGTAAAAAGTTCCAAGATACAGTTCAAACACATAAAGGGGGAAAATGCCATTAGCCCGTGACATTCACCACAATCTAATGGTTTCATCTAGTGAAATGATATAAAGCCGTTGGGAAATGGTTTCAGGTAGTGATTTGATATAAAATCAATGAAAATGGTTCCAAATAGTAATATTGAGCCGATGGGAAATGGTTCCGACAAAGGTTTGATCATTGTGATTTGATGCATTTTGATGGTCATGTTTGACTTGCTTGTTAACTGTGATTGATGCACTTGTTACGTGTGATTGATCTACTTGACATTGAGATTGACTTACTTGATTCGTGTTGGTTGTTGAGTTGTGACTATTGAACTGTGATTATTGAGCCTTGTGAGCTTTGTATTGAAGAACTTTTAGGTTGAGTTGATTTCTGTGCAGGTTGTAGTTTGAGGAGGTTCTGTTGGGATGAAAAAGGAGTATTCATTTTCTAGCTAGGTTGCTTCCTTTATTAGATTGCTTGATGGGTACCGTGTTGTTGGTACTCACTCCTTGCTTCTAGTACACTTGTGTAGGTTCACAGCCCGATGTAGCGTGATTGCTCTTCTCTCCTATCTCTGAGGCTTGTTAGAGAACTGTTGAGAGATAGCTACTTGTCATCTCGGCAGACCCTCTAGTTCTTCTTTTATGCTTTGTTCGATTTGAGAATCAAAGACTTGAGACTTGTACTTATTTCTTAATTTCCGCACTTTATGTTTTAGTGACTTGTACACATGACAATCAAGTTTTGGGGTGTTAATAGCATGAATAAGTTTTTCCACTTTTATTTTGTTCTTGCTTTATCTTTCCTCTTTTCCTTTCGTTTCGTTGGGTTGAGGTTGACTTGTTTTGGTGGAAAATGCAAGTGCCATCACATCCTTTTTGGGTCATGACAACAAAGCTCCGATACCATGTAAGGATTTTATGAATTCGATAAAACTCAATTGTATTTCACGGAAGAGTTATTCCTCAATATATAGAGATGCTACACAAAGGTGTAGTTGGATACAAACTCTCCAAGAGATAAATTAAACGAACAATATGACTTCTAATTGATTACAACTACTACAACCACGTATTGTTATGTTGTCCTAACAATGACTAATGCAAGCAATAGTTATATATAGGATAAAAACGTGTATCAAATAAAGTACTAATAATGTACAAAACTAATGTATACATTATTTTTTTCTAATACATCCTACCAAATGACCCCTTAGAGTTTATCGGTATTATTTTTTTCTAATACATTCTATCAAATGACCCCTACGAGTTTATCGGTAAAATTAATGTAAGTGATTTTCTTGGATAAAATTAGGGGAGAATTTATGTGTTTTCATGTTGGAAATAAGATATTTTACCTTTTGGACTTTAAAGCTTGTCATTTTGGCAAGATAGAGTGCAAAACACATAAAGGGTGCAAATGCCATTAGCCCGTGACATTCTCCACAATCTACTGGGTTTACTTACATCCTTTCTTTTATTTAAAAGTAAGCTCTACCAAAATAGACCAAGACCAAAACCAAGGTTTTCTTATTTTCCTCGTGGTCGTACTCCCGACAGACAGCTTAAAACACGCGACTCTCCTCTTTTTGCCTTTTATATATATAGAGCTTAGCTTTGGCATTCACCTAATAAAAGTAGTACACCCACTAATAACTCTCTATTTATAGACAATAAAGGCTAAATAAATGTTTATTGTGCTTTATCTGAAATATCATAACCCTTTGAAAATGACACAATCAATCGAAAAGGTCGTAACCTTTCAAAAAAATCATAACTTGTCATAAAAAGTTATAACTCTTCATAAATATCACAATTTTTTTTATTAAAATCACAACTTTTCATACATTTTAAAACCCAACAACCTTTTCACTCCTATCCGCTCCATTTATATTTATATATAGAGCTTAGCTTTTGGCATTCACCTAAAAGTAGTACACTCACAAGAAAAGCATTTTCGGTTGCCAAAAGAATGACTAGATCCGCGGAGGAACTTGATTTTTTCGGTATGGAGAAAGAAGCTACTGCTACTAAACTTGTTGAAAGAAGAAGAAGCTTTCGAGGTCTTATTATTATGCACCTTGCACTGCTCTACCGTACCACTTTTTTTCTTCTTTTTTTTCATGTCGTAGTTCTATAAATTGAAGTTTAATAATATTGCAGATATCCAAACCATGATTTCGAAGATCAATCCTGAGGTTCTGAAGAATGTTATTGCTTCTCGCTCTGCAGAGAAGAAAAATATTTATCCAATAGCTCCGTCGTCTGAGGGCTCCTTTTCACTTCCAACGTCGTCGTTGCCTCTTCTTGCTAATTGCAACATAGAAAACGATCCTGAAAATTCACCTTTAACTATATTCTATAATGGTATTGTTGCTGTTTTTGACGTTACTAAAGACAAGGTTTGTTCATCTAATCAAAATAAAAAATTAAGTTTTTTGAGATGATAAGTGAAATCGAATTCTTTTTACTTTTGAGTTTGGCTTAATTTGTTTTTTTTTTTGGGTGTAGGCGGAGAATATTCTTAGACTTGCACAAGGAGGCAATCAACAGTTATTATTGAAGACTTCACATGTAGATGGAGGTGAACTTTACTAATATATTCTCTTTTAATTACTTTTCTATCATTTCTCATTTAATTACTCCATTTATTTTTGAAGAGAAATGGTTTTACCATTTCAATTATTTTGATGAGTGTGGTTGTTATTGCATGTATGTAGATCTACCCATAACAAGAAAGAAGTCACTGGAAAGGTTCTTTGAGAAGCGAAAAGAGAGGTTCGTTCATTTTCATTACAACGCTTTTTTAACGCGTCATGCATCAGAGCTCTAGCTTCTTCTCTCTGCTTTCCACAAAAGTCAAAAATATTCGCCCATTCTTTGAATAATCTTTTATGCTTTTCTAAAAAAGAGAGAGAGAAAAAAAAAATGTCGTAGATATCACAATTCACGTTACCGTTGCAACTTGCAAATGATGAAGTACTAAAGAAGTGTTAACATGAATTGAACTGTAGTATGAATAAGTGCAATATTTGTGTTCTATTGTAGGATGACTATGGTCTCACCTTATGGTTTCAATGAATTGTCAAGCAACAAATTAGCTGCAAATCAGAACTAGAGGAACACACATAATGTGTTTTAGTAATGAGGATTTACTTACAAGTTATTTTGTATTTTGTGTTTTGGTGGGATCCTGACCCCCCCCCCCCCCCCCCCCCCCCCTCTCTCCTCCTCCTTCCGCCATCGCCCCACTCCGGTGGATTCTCCATTATACTCACAATTATTTTCTTCACAAAAGAAGAAGAAGAAGAAGAAAAATTGTGGAAAAATTAAGAAAGAAAAAAAAAGGCAATTCAAGAATTGACAAAATAAATAAAGAAGAAGAAAAAATATGGAAATTGTCAACTACGCGGGAGTAACAGCCATGATGAAAAGGACAAGGAGTAACAGCCATGATGAAAAGGACAAGGAAAATAACATCTTGTTTGAATGGTTGGTACCAGTATTATTTATGTTGTATCGTTAGTTTAAATATAATATTTGTTAATATATAATATCTATTTTTGATGCTTTTAATTTGGCATCTTACCTTATCTCTATTAGAGTATTACTTAAGTCCGCCCACGTTTTTTTGATTTATTTATTTGTTATTGTAAAGTATCACATTTCAATCGTGTAAGCATGAATATTGAATATCATGAAGGAATCTTTACTACAGTTGCTTCAGCTTTTCCAATTTTGAATTTTCTAAAGAAATGACTTATTCTACATGTCGAGTACCTCATTGTTGACCAACAACTAACAACTAATTAATAAACGTACGTACGTGATTCACATATGGATTAATAGAGTAATAGTATATTATTCATTTTGTATTTCTACTCATTTGGGTGACACGTATCAACTTTATAATCGTTGGAACTTGGAATTCGATATACTATAAGGTATAATTAACATCTGTCATAAATCAAGTTATGGAGATGTGAAATAGGTAGATGCATTGAAATTTTACAAGTTTAAATGAATTGAATTAATAAAGTAATGAATGTGTTATTGATCCATCCAAATTAACTTGGCCTAGAAATTGAATTGAGTCATGATATTTATAGTTTGACCCGCTTAATCGTATGTTGTTATAAATTAAAAATAACCACGATATTGTTATAAAATGAGAGCAAATAATATTCATATTCATTTACTTAAAAGAAGAAAGCAATAGCATAGAGATCAGAAAAAATAAGATTTTTTTCCAAGTATTTTAAAAATATCTTCAAGTATATTTAAATGTCGGTAATATCTGCACAAAGGGCCGTGTTAGACAAATTCAACATTTCGGAGCTTACCGTAATGACGGAATTCTCATCCAATCACATTTATCAAGAATGTTGACCAAGGTCAAACTTAAGCCTTAACTTGAAAATTAAAACGCCTAATCGCACTGAAAATCTCGGAAGTCATGTGGACCATGCTACTAGCCTAAAATTAAATGACCTTTACGAAGCTAATGAAATTGTTAGAAATGGAGTATGGGGGTCACCTGACCTTTTGATCGAAAACGACCGTTCAAGGTTCAAAAGCTCCAAAATACATAATTTCGCATAAAAATCAAAAGAACAACCAGGTAACCGAGTTGTTAGACCCAACAAGTCATAAAGTACTTGGGGTCGCTATAGCAACACTATAAACAATGAACAAAAGATATAAATACAAAAATGACCTGAATGGTCTTTTAAGTATAAGATCAATTTTCTAAATTTGAGGAAGTTAAAAAGAATATTTAAGCCTATAAAGAAAGATATTGCATTAAAGTGAATTGATTAATATATCTTTAATAGGAAGTACTTCGCCATTGCAATACGAAATAGGAGTAGTACATTCAAGTGTGTGTCTAAAATTAAAAATGCTCCACGCACGTTACGCTGTAAAAGCTCTAAATGCATATTAATGCCCAATTCTTTAAATTTAATTTTGTCACAAGTTTAAATCTCCTTAATTGTACCTCCTCTCATGATACATTCCAATATATATATTATTAATAATATAGAGGCCATGAAAATCTTCAACGGTGTTCAATGGAAACCTTTAATGTATAAAAAATTTAACTTAAATACTCGGTATGAAACTAGATTTGAAGACGAGGATCCTCTCAATAACTTGTACAAGTACAAACAATTGAATTTAATAAATGAGGAGGTCAAACTGGATGATCAATATAGCCAACAATTGAAGCCGTATGCTTGTATTTATATAACTTTTTGTATACTTTAAAATAGCTATCTCAAAATATTATGTTAGAAAAGATAAAATCGAAATCTGAAAGTGTTTTGCAAGGTATTTTGGCCTGGTTATACTAATAATTATACGAAGGTAAAAGAAAGTCATCTTGTAGAAAAGTTAAAGAACAGAAGAAACTATCTATGTTAATGATAATGGCACATTGAAATATTTTTCTCTTAAATCTTTTTTTTTTTGGAGTATTAACTGAGTGGTAGTTTAATTTTTTAATATTAACATATGATAATTTCCTTGCAGAAAAGATTTTCCTGATAAATAAATTAAAATAAGCAAATTCAAACCAGCTCTAAATTGACATAAAGAAAGTTCTTTCCTTAGTCTAAAGAGCACAACAAAAAAGTCATGAAGAGGGTTAAATTAATCCTTAAAATATTATGATATTGAGAACACCAAAAATGTTATCGGTGGAAAATAAATTTTTGATCTTAATGTGGAGAACTCAACTATTAAATCAGTATCTAAGGATTCATATGACAATCAACTAGAGAGTTAACTGCTAACTTGACTATTTTAAATTTATATACTCAGTATATCTTTTGTATCAATTTATGTGACGTAAATTTGAATAGTGAATGCGTACTATAATAACATAAGCAACTTTTGAAACTTTTTTGTTGTCGATTATTTAAATTTTTTACCAAGTATAATTAATTATTGCCAAAAGTGAAATGCTCTAAAGAGTACTCTAGATCTAAGTGTAATTTACATCGGCTTGCATACAAAAGTGCAACCTATAGTTGGTATATATATATAGTTTTACTATATTAGAAGTGTGAGATCAAATATGGTATCAACATGGTAGCTTAATGTCATTTAAGTTCAAATTGAGGGTATTGTGGACTTTTCGCATACCCAAACACTACGTGGCTATTCCTGCTGAAACTAAACAGACACATCACTGATCACACGTATCATCATTTGAACATTTTAACACTATCTTTCTCAATTGTTCATCTTGAGCTCTTCTTATATATATATTAAAGAGAGAGAGAGAGAGAGAGTGTCCATGTTAACCTTTTTTTTTTTTTTTTTTATGACAATCAACTAGAGAGTTAACTGCTAACTTGACTATTTTAAATTTATATACTCAGTATATCTTTTGTATCAATTTATGTGACGTAAATTTGAATAGTGAATGCGTACTATAATAACATAAGCAACTTTTGAAACTTTTTTGTTGTCGATTATTTAAATTTTTTACCAAGTATAATTAATTATTGCCAAAAGTGAAATGCTCTAAAGAGTACTCTAGATCTAAGTGTAATTTACATCGGCTTGCATACAAAAGTGCAACCTATAGTTGGTATATATATATAGTTTTACTATATTAGAAGTGTGAGATCAAATATGGTATCAACATGGTAGCTTAATGTCATTTAAGTTCAAATTGTTGAGGGTATTGTGGACTTTTCGCATACCCAAACACTACGTGGCTATTCCTGCTGAAACTAAACAGACACATCACTGATCACACGTATCATCATCTGAAAATTTTAACACTATCTTTCTCAATTGTTCATCTTAAGCTCTTCTTTTATATATATATACTAGAGGGGAATAGCCCGCGCGTGCTGAGCACGTGCCCAACATTTTACATTTTTAAAGTAGTAAATGCTTGATGATACACAACAATAAGCGTCATTGGCTATATTGATACAAAAGTGTGTCGCTTAGTTTACACAAGAGCACCTTCATAGATAATATAGACATCCTTAAATTAATTAAAACAAAAAGACACCATGAATGCCTAAAAAATGGCTCATCTAATCCTCAGATCTTAAACTCAACTCAGGTAAGAGAGTTGAACTACTTCTAAAAAAGTGCATAAAACAACTATTCAACATATGCGCTAGGGTGAGGCTGATGATACAAACACAACTGAAATATGTTGTTCAAAACGTTGGACAAGTCCATTTGCTCCGAGTCTATTGTGGTAAGGAATAACATCAACAAAGGTTGTTCATAAGGTTGTGCATCAGACTCTAGTTCAGCTTTTGATGACCTCTTCTTTGAATATGTTCCAAGATTTGAATTCACAGTGTAGTACTACAATGTTAATCAGAGTCATTAGCTGAGATAAGACCATCATTAAGCCAGTCATATTGGCCACAATTAAGGCAATATATAGAAAAACTACTATGAAGTTTATCAATTGATCATTAAGCTTGGTGCAGTACTACTATGAAGTTCCTTTGCTTTTCTCCTTCTATAGAGAAGCTATATATGTTGATGCTTAAAGGGTTCCCTTTTTTTTTTTGAGTAAAATGGTGCTCTCCCATCTTTAAGTAGAGCAGACATCTCACTACACAACTCATGAAAATCTTGTGAATGGATAAGGATTCATTTAGTGAGAACTTGAATCCCTCACTATCTTTTTTTTTTTTTACTCAGAAGCATCATGATACGGAAATCTAAGATCAAGTTCAACCAAGTAGTTAAACTCCCTCTCAAATTTTCTGACTAAACTGCTTGAAATATAGTTTCACTCCTGCTATGCACAAGTCCTTTCTCTAGTCAGTTTGACATATCATAAAGCTCTAGGACAATATCAAACCATTACATATCATATCTATGATTAAAAAGTATAAGAAAATAAATAAATTAAAGAAAAGCAAAATAGATACAATAGAAATCACACCTGAAGTTCACGCTTTAAAACAGTAAGTTTTATCACTTTATATCGAGGAAAATGTCTAATGTTGTAAGGTACATGTCACGCCCCGAGCCTACACCCTGGGCGGGACCGGCACCCGGAGACCATTGCTGGCCCTAGGCCAACCCTTGGCCTGACTTTCTTAACTCAGCGGAAACTTAACTCAACAGTACAACTCAATGCAATGAAAGGTTATAAAACAACCAACAGATGCATAACATGCCAAAAGGCAGCTCGAGTCTCAAAATAGAATATTGACATATATATACATAGATGAGAGACTCAATACTAACTGACTGACTGTCTATGAAGCCTCTACCATACTGAGATGGATGTTGGGACAGACCCCGCAACATCCTAATAAGACAAAACTAAGAGAACAAAACAACTGAGACCTTCGGAAAGCAAGGAGGCTCACCACTGACTTTGGAGTGCTCAACTGGATCAACGGCGTGCAGGA